ACATTTAAAGCATCCTTTTTTTATCTTTGGAATATAGCAAGATTGCATCCTATGCTACATTTCTCTGTAGCTGAGAAGTTGATCAAAATCAACACTTAAAGGTGGGGTAAGTGATTTCTGGTAGCCAATGTTGATATTTCAAATCACCAAAACTAACATGCCCCTACCCCAAAAGGGTCTGGCCCTTATTTTGATAGCTCCGCCCCACACATACGCACGCAACCCAGGCAACGATTATGGCGGAATCTGCTGTATTATTATCTGCTGTATTAAACATATTAACTTTTCGGACACACTTTGGGAGCTGACGCATGAAACAGACAGTGGAGGTGGTTTAGACGCTCCAGGCTTATAGGGTGTGGAAATGAATGTGTCTTTATCATAGCTGAAGGGAACAACAATACGATTGCAGATTAACAAACAAGCGAACATGACACACAAGCATATTCAAGCAAAAACCAGCATATATTAGTTCTATGAAACAAAGCAAAACCAATGTTACTCAATTTTCTAAAGCGTTTTTGAAAAAAATACATACCCCACCTTTAACAAGCTGCAATACTTACTACTTGGCTGCCAGGATCCTGACTGGGACCAGGATATGCAATCAAAATTGCTCCTATTTTGAAGTCTTTGAAGTCAAGTTTCATGCTGATTTTAAAATTATGATGCTGACATACAAAGAATTACATGGCTTGGATCCACATTATTTATCCACATTGTTAATTCCTTACACCCCTAGATGCCATAGAAGTGTAATGAAATATTTAGCAAATATGCTGTATGTGTAGCTTGTTGATTTTTCTCATTTGTTTTTCAGAGCTGCAACAAACTGTGAGTTGTATGTGTTATCGAAGAAAAGCCTTGATGAAGCATTGAAGTATTACCCTAGCATTTTTGAGCAAATGCAAAGTGCAGCTGATGAGATGAAATACCAGTTACACAAAGGAGATCTTCAGATAAACACATTTACAAAGCCTAGCTCTGCAGGAGAGACTTTCCTTCGGACTGGATGTAAGTTGTTTAATGTTGAACTGATGCATTTAATTTATGTAAGATCAGGCACACAGTTCATGACATGCAAACTACCCGAATTTCTTTACTGCCCACCATAAATCATACCTGCAAACTAGTTGCTTTTCGGCAAAATTCACCGTTTTGAATCAAAATATGTCATTTATGGGAATCGTCTAGAGTTTTTTATGGGGGGGGGGGGCTACAGAGCTACAGAGCTACAGAGAGCAGATGGCTCCACAAGCCTTCGAATCGCTCTCGCAGTACTTTGATGTCCGATTGGTCTGCGCCCTGCTGCTTCAAATCGAACACACCTCATCTCACAGCCGGTCCATTTTGACGGCACACTTACGCTCACACCTGCATGTAAACATGTCGGTGGCGTGGAAGTTCTTCATTGTGAGTTAAAGGGGTCATATGATGTTGCTAAAAAGAACATTATTTTGTGTATTTGGTAAACATTAAAACCCATTATAAAAGAGGCATTTGTTGCATCCAGTGGGGACATAATTAGAATCAGAATCAGAAAGAGCTTTATTGCCAAGTATTCTGTAACGCCGACCAGATGGCAAAAGTTCAAAAAGGAGATGGCTTGGATGTGATGGATCCAAGCCATCTCCTTTTTGAACTTTTGCCGTCTGGTCGGCAAATTATAATTATATAATGACTTATACTGTCTTTTTACGCGCTGCGTTGCATCGCGCCGTGTAAACATACAACCATGTCTGCATTTGTGATCGGAGAAATCAAACAACAAGCGCTACTCTACACTAGAGCCCTGTATTTCAGCCCGGGCCCGACGGGCCCCTACTTTTTTATGCCCCTCAGGCCGGGCTTCGGGCCAATTTTCACGTCATAGTTCAAACGCGGGCCGGGCCTCAGGCCTGTTTTAGGCTTCTCCTTATTTTTTATATTTTAGACATCCATCAATTAGTGATGAAAAAAATTGCCTCGCTGATGGAAACAACACGTGCTACCGTGACTGTCAAGAGCAGCTCGATGGTGTTTAGTGTCCTGCAGCAGCAGTATGTATGGTGCATGCCGTCAGCGCAGCTGAACAGTTCTGCGTTCAAATTCAAGCAATAGGCTTAAGCATGCCGCAAAGCACCGGCAAAAGTAAGTTGAGAAGGCTAAATTGATCAAACATAGGCTCACTGTCTGCCGCTGGCCGCTTGGTCGTTACTTTAAAAAAACAAAAAGTGTATTTAACGAACAAAAAATGCTCCAAACGTTTTTTTTAATTAACTTCAGAAAAAAACGAAACGAAATATAATCACTTTGCTATTACATACAAAACTGAACTAATTTAATAGCTGAAACAGTAGTATAAGCTGTTTTGGGAGAAGGGGAAAAAAAGACGTGCTCGGGTCGGGCTCGTGCCGGTAATTCTGATAAGCTGTCAGACACGGGCCGGGCTAAGGCCTAAATTTGAGGCCCGTGCAGGGCTCTACTCTACACTGCTCAAAATTTGCGTTTGAATCATCAGTGGCAAATTCTTTAAATATAAAAAACGTACTTACAGTCTGTGAGTCAGAACAGCCGGCATTGTAGTCTACTCTCCCAGGATCAGGAAACAGTCCTCCATAAAATGCGCTGCACACATCTGAATATTTGGGTTGAACTGTTCTGGAACAGTGTTGTAAATACAACTTAACCACTGATTTCTAGTTGTGTCCTCTTTTGGAAGGCCAAACAAAGTAGTTTTGCTTTCACAACGAAACACACAGCGTCAGACACGGCGGGCTTGAGAACGGCGCGGCCGGCGGGCTAGAGTGAGGAACGGCCGGCGGGCTTGAGAACGGCGCGGCCGGTGGATTCGACGAAGGTGCGGCCGACGGGCTTGTGGCAACCACATGTGACGACTCCGCTTTCACAACAAAACACACAGCGTCTCCACGACATGGCGGCGGCAACAACAATACTACAGCGAGAATCAAAGTTACGCCTTCTTTCTTTGCGTGAACATTTGGGCGGCGTTATGCAAATCTTCCCACATCGTGACAGAGATATGTGGGGGCGTGTTAGAAGGAGCCGTTTTAGGTAGGTGTGTTTACATATCTCTTTGGATTTGAGACTTTAGTCTTTGCAAATTTACAGATCTTCTTTATGCACCAAGAGCTTGTAACACTCCAAAGAGAAAGGAAAAATTGAAATTGCATCATATGACCCCTTTAAACAGACACAAAGTTCGCAATTTGTAATACAATACTGACTGTTTTTGCTCAAGTTCGCCGACGAAGTTTCAGTCAAAGCCACAGCAGAACTGTTTTGTGTCTCCGAGCAACACAGCGGTTTTTCGATACTGAATGAATCCACGTTTTTCAACGAATTAAGTGAGTCAATGATTCAGTAACCCATTCATGCGGTCTTCCTCTGAGTCCGCACTTTCGTGCCGTAATGCCGCTTTGACTGTCAGGTAGAAGTCTGCTGCGGAGCTCGCCCCAGTGCGGGCTCGGCAGAAGTGCGGATCAAGGGTGCATAATGGCCGCAAAGGGGGCGCTCGCGAACACCCTTCTGAACGCTAAAATGACAAATGGGACACTCTACGGTCTCATGGACTTAACAGACACGCGCACGCGGCGGCCATTGTAAGTCCGTAAGACTTACAGTGCGCATGAAGTGTTCCATTTGGGACAGTGCCATAAAGACAGTAGTCACTTGCCTCGTTTTTGAATGAATGACTAATGACTTGCTCATTAAAACAGTCATTTACCGTAATCTACTGGTGGTTTGGTTTCATATTTAAAAGTATTGCATTCTTCCCAACATTTTTAACTTGTATGTTCAAAAATATTTAAAACATTAATCTTATAAAATTATGTATGCATTTGAAATTTTGTGGTGTAAATGCATTTATGGCACCTCAGCTTCATTAAACAGTCTGTGTAAATATATCTAATGCCACTTCAGATGTAGCTTCTGTTTCCTCTGCATTGAAAAGATGGAGTTTGTTGATAGTATGCGCACTCTAATGTGAACATTAAAATTTGCAAAAATAAATTACTCCACTGCTCACAAAGAGAAGTATGAACACCGATGACAACAGAGTTGCACTGTCCAAAAAGTTTGTGGTATAAATGTGCTTTTTTTACTTGAAGCATATGTTGTCTTTTTCCTTTATTTTGTTGTCAGAGTGCACCAGAACGCTTCATTTAGAATTTCATTAAATTCTCAAAAATTTTCTTCTGGGTGGGGATGCCCCCAGGCCCTGTTACAAGGGTCATATTCCAAACTATGTCACCTTTTTGACCTCTTGTGAGTTTGTAGGTATGATAAATAATACATAGAGTTAATCTTTTATAATCTCATTAGATCATTTGGCTTAGATAACCTCAACATTTACATTAAACATTAAAACTGTTTTACATTATGGTCATGGAAAACTTGAAAATATCAGGGAATTTTTCCTGGAAACCTGAATGATTGGAAAATGCGTGGAAATTTCTGTAATAAATGTACAGTTTTCTTTAGTTATGCTCTCCTCTTAAATGTTTTGTAGGCTGAAAATTGCTCTTGTGTACAGAAAATGGCACTCTGCTCATCAGGAAATCTTAAAAGCACACTGGTTACCACTCTTTACCATTTCCATTTATCATAGGGTCTCTAATAATTTGGCAAGTATAAAACAAACATTTCTTTAGAGCTAGGAGACGGGCAGCAACTTGAGCAAATATACTACGACATTTCATGCAGAGCCAGTTGCAAAAGGAGCAGAAGCATTCTCTTGACTGCATTATCTGCATTCATCTCATGAACACAACATGTAATATGGTGTTTCTGTCCTTATAGGTGTAAAACTTTATAGGGAACACATGGCTGAGGAAGAGCACAGAGCTGAACTCCGTTCTCATTCTTTGGGCATTAGACTATGCACATCAATCTCATCCATGCTCATCCAATTCTTCCTGAAGATTTTCAACACCATGAGAAGAATGCACAACAAAACCATTGATCCTGAGAACAATTTTCGAGTGATCTATCAGTACACATCCTGTCTGCTGATCACAGTTTTTTTCTGGGCAATAACATTCATGGTGTGTATGGTATCTCTTGTGCATTTTAGCAGTTCTCTTAGTTAGAGGTAATACAGTGAAATACAAAAGTGTTCAAAAGTGTCCAAATACTTTTTGGGGCCACTATATGACAGATAGGGATTTTTTTTCCTATCAAAGCTGCACTTCAGTCATTGAACATATTACTATTGCTAATTCTTAAGGCTCATTAACACTGAGAACTATATGAATATGAAGTTTAAAATGATGAAGACAGAGAAACAATCTTGTTGGAATTTTTTTCTAGTCGATGAATGATAAAAACATTGACAACCAATCAAAATCATTCCTACTTTAACACATGTATTGCACTTATGTTCATAGAACATATATTAAATGTGTAATATATGTTATAGGTTTTAGTTTTCATTCTTGGTGTGAACAGGCCTTTAGGATTAGGGATATGAACAAACTTTTAACTCTGTGTATTAAACATAAGGGCTTTTCACACTTGAAATAGTTAACCCAGGGCCATTCTAAACCCAGGTAAACAGAATCCTGGGATATTTTGCTTCACATTTCACACAGTTCAGGATTAAGTTAACAATTAATCCTGGGTATTCATGAACTGACATTTCACACTATACATTCCTAAACCCTGGGCTAAAGGGTTAGTTCACCCAAAAATGAAAATTAGCCTGTGTTTTACTCACCCTCGAAGCATCCTAGGTGTATATGACTTTCTTCTTTCAGACGAATCCAGTCAAAAGAGGGGAGGGGGGGCAAGGTCGGGAGGGAG